TCCACGACGTTTGAAAGCTGAGCCTGAAGCCTTGTAGAGGGGAGGAAATGCAGATCCGTGACAAAGCTTCATTGTGAAATTAATCACTATGATATTCTCACACCTGAAGTGTTGGATTATCAATCTGACTGCAAATGAATTGTGAAGTTGTTCAAGCCACTTGGAAAATACTGTACCAGAATGTGGTGGCCAATTTAAACTACAGTACAAAGATAAAATATGAAGGAGTGAAGAAAATGCTACTACGACGAACAGTGTGAACCACATTAATATGTGCTATTTCCTCCCAGAGATTACTTAATATTTAACGTAATGCATGAAAACATTACCCAGTATAAATTAGGTTTTTTGGACTACAGCTTCTAGAATGCTAATGGGTTCTGTTGCACTGTAGTGTTAAAAGGGAAAGTTAGATTTCCACACACCCCTTCAAGCACCTCCGATTCTCCCATTTCCTCACCTTGTAGTCCTGGACCACCTTCTCTCTAGGAATGGCCCTGTGGTCACGGTGGCCCTCAGATCTGCCACACATCATCCACATGGAGCCTTGGTTTACCTCACAGACGTTTCTGGGGCCCTCAATGAATTTCCCTCTTGTGCTTCTGCTCCTTTGACAGCCTGCAGATTCTGTGGTTGAATAATCGCCAGCATCTCTTTCAGCAACCTGTTGGTGATGAGGTCTCCCATCTGGGTGAGAGGTCTGCATTTTGTACAGGATGCTCTGGTATCTGATGTTCCTTGGCAGCCAGGGGTGCAGGATCAGCAGAAGTGGTGCCCAGTCTTGGAAATACTTCTGGCAGATGGAGCAAGTGGCTTCCTTTGGCAAAGTTTTTGGAAGTTATAGCTCCTTGGCTCAATATATTCTGTGTTTTAGAGAACAGGTTTTATATTTGGCAAGAACTTGAGTTCTGGGAATTTCACTTCATATACTGTAGTCTGAAAGTTCAGTCTCCTCTGGGGCTATGAAGAAATACAGTATTTGACATTTGGAGAAGAAAACAAACAGGATATTTGCATAGGAAGAGCAACGACACCAGAGGCCGGATGGCACATGGGAAATCTATCATCTTCATTCCTTATCAGCCCAAGTGAAGAATTTATTAAAGGGCTGAGATTTTCTAAGGCACCTTTAAATTTTCTAAAGTACCAGTATCAATCTGGAGGTTTTTCTTCCTAACACTTCACCAGTCTCTGTGGCCAGCATCTTCAGAGGACAGGAGCTAGAACTCTGCCTGTGTTCTAGTGTAGTGTGTGGGATTGTTGAGTATTTGTAGCTGTGGGATCAGAAAGCCTTCGAGAACACATCTTTAGGGCTCTTAGGGTCATATTCAGCCATCAGACTTTCTGACCTGACACCATGATTCCATGAGATTGCAAAATACATTCCATGAGCTTGCAAAATACAAAATTGCAGAGGATACAATTCAATTACCTGGAAATCTCAGCTAATTTTTAATTGAAGCACAAATGTTCCTTAGAAAGGGAGGTTTCTAGCCCTTATGAAAGCAGGCCAGAAATATGCATTAATGGGCATATAGGCACAAGAATCTGGTAAAATCTCAGAAGACACAGAGATACTTCCATTATATTTCAGTACCCTGTCCTTCCATTCTTACCAGCAAAACCAAAAGAAATTACGCAGATTGAAATATGTACAGAATATAACAATTTTTCCACACAAGAATCTGCCCCTGATCACTCCTTTTGACACCCCCCCTTTCCCTAATTTCCTCAGTCTAACTTGTATGGGAGGTGGAAATCCTTTTATAGTTGCCCACTGTTAAAAAAGTTAGGAGACAGACATCCTTCCCCCAGAGATCTCCTAGCTGATCCTTTACGCAGATTGAAATATGTACAGAATATAACAATTTTTCCACACAAGAATCTGCCCCTGATCACTCCTTTTGACACCCCCCCTTTCCCTAATTTCCTCAGTCTAACTTGTATGGGAGGTGGAAATCCTTTTATAGTTGCCCACTGTTAAAAAAGTTAGGAGACAGACATCCTTCCCCCAGAGATCTCCTAGCTGATCCTTCGCTACCAGCAGATTACAAGGACTCTATTTGCTTTGATTGGCTTCCTCACTGCCGGGATGTTTATGTTACCAACAGTCTAGAGAAAATACTTTTCAGCGTTTTCTGCATTTGTCCTGACTTCACCATCTACCACTTCACCCACAATCATGTATAATTCTAACAGATTAAATGTTACAAAAGTTTATGCCAAATGTTTGTTAGGCTTCAAGGTACCACAGGATTCTTCACTGACGTTGTTGTAATAGGCACAAGCTACCTACTACAAACCGTGACTTGGGTATTAAAGCAAATTCAAATCCACCAGTTTGTTTTGAGCAGGGTTTACCACCTCCATCAAGTCTCAAGGCAACATGGCCACTGATTTTGCTGCTGGAGGAGACTGGGAATCGAAGTTGGGGGAAAATTAGGTTTCCCACACTCTGGTTCTGAGGAGCTGATCTGAACGAAACCCCCAGCAAGCCTTCCACACAAAAGGACTTGGTTCCTCTTCGTGGCCTCTGTGAATGCACACAAGTGGGTTGTTCTGCTCCTGTGCAAGACGTTTCGGGAAGTTTCTAGAACTTAAAAAAATTGACAATGAGACATTCCCCCTCCCCCCGTGCAAGCTCCGCCCTCCAATCTTCCCCTTAGTTCCTTTTTTCCTCAGCAGTGGTAGAGGAACGCCTAGAGTGAAAACAACGTGCATTTAGTTATTGACACTATCCAATTTTCTAATTGAACTCTTAGATTTTACTATACTGTATTATCATTTCATATCCCCTTGTGATTAGCTTCTATTTTTCTCCCAGCACACAACTTTTTTCAGCTTCCCGCGTTTTTTTTTCTTCCCCTCCCCCCTACCAACGGTTCCCCACCTTTCCCATTTTGATGGCTCCTCGGGGACCGTTTAAACGGTGCGTTCGCTGTGAGAAGAGAGATCCCGCTTACAGATGGGCGCCACAAATGCTTATTTTGTCTTGGGGAAAAGCACCAAACCCAATCGTGCCCAGAATGTAAAAAGCTGACAAAACCTGCGATAAAGCTTAGATTACAGCATTTAAGAGCATACCTGAGGGAGAAATCCCTTCAGGCACGCAGGGAGGCACTGACTTCACCCCGCCCAGACCTGGGCCGATCCCTATCGAGCCCGACACCAGCTCCTGCAAGGCAAAAAGGATCGTCTAAAAAACCCTCATCAAAATCCAGCTCGACAACCGTTTCCAAAGCCCGGACTCCCTCCGACGGAACCATTAAAAAGAAGACGCACAAAGACAAGTAATCTCAGTCTTAAAAACATGCTTTAACTTGGGCACAGGCTGCACCGTCGGTGGCTAGCACAAGCCACTCGCAGGCTGGGATCCACTCCAGGCGGGCCGCGTCCCTTTCATCGTTCATCAGGGCGGGCACTAATGGTGCAAGGATCGGGATCAGGGCCATCTCGGCACCCCCCTCCACGTAAGCGTAAAGAAAAGAGACGGCACATTTCTCCACCCGAACATGTCCCTCGACGAAAGAGATATTACGATCTGATTAGTGTGCACTCACGGAGGACACGAAGGAGAAAGAGATATTACTATCTGGAACACCATCAAGACTTCGCAGAACCTTCTCACCGCAAACGACGACACTATTACCTGTATTGCCCGTATTACCTGTACTATATTACGTGTATTACAGCCCTGTACCTGTACTATGAGGAACGACGTCACCACTCAAAACACATACACCTAGCACAAGCCCATTCTCTATCTGGATCCGCCCGCAAGAGACATACCTCGGTATCAGACACACCGATACCAAGAAAAAGAGCGAAAAAAACCAAACACGTTTCTGTGCAGGTTTCCGCAACACGGCTGTTTCCAAATCACCCCAGCAGCCCCCATCCCAACAGATCCTGTGATTCACACCCCGCCTCTCTGTCTCCCGCCCCCGCCGCGTTTGCCTCTCCAAGCCATGTTTTGATGTCGAGGGATCTCCTTCAGCGGATCCCTCTCCCGGCCAGCCAATCAGGCTCCAGCAGGAAACCACGCGGCGTGCAGGGGAGCTGCAACACACAAGCCTGTCTCTCTCCACCACCATCGGCAGCAGCAGCGACAGCAGCACCTTCGCTTCCCTCCTCTTGCTTTCCCGCCATGGCCTCCGAGAGCCCCCTGGAAACCCTGCAGAGGGAGATCACTTGCTCCATCTGCCTGAGCTATTTCAAAGAGCCCGTGTCGATCGACTGCGGGCACAACTTCTGCCAGGCGTGCATCACCCAGTGCTGGGGCCGCTCGGACGACGAGAACACCTCTTGCCCCCAGTGCCGCCGGTGGTCCCGCAAGAGGAGCTTCCGGCCCAACCGGGAGCTGGGCAACGTGGTGGAAGTGGCCAAGAGGCTGAGGCTGGAAGCGGCCACCTCGCTGGCCGGGCAGCGCCTGTGCGAGAAGCACCAGGAGCCCCTGAAACTTTTCTGCGAGGAGGACGAGACGCCCGTCTGCGTCATCTGCCGGGAGTCCCGGGCGCACAAAGCCCACCCCATGCTCCCCATCGAGGAGGCGGCCCAGGATTACAAGGTAGCGGCGGGCCAGCGCCCCCCCCCAGCCACCCACCCACCCCCGGTCCCCGAGGGTCTCCCTAGGAAGGAGATCGGTCTGGGACATGCTTGACCCCTGGGGCCGCCCCCATGTATTTGGCTGCCTGGGGCTGGCCTGCAAAGGGTAGCTCGCTCTCTCTCCGCCTATGACAGGACTGGGGAAAGCCTTGGCCTTTCAGGGATTTTGGACTTCATTTCCCATAATACGGTGGGCCAGGTTGGATAAGCCTGATGGGAGTTGAAGTCTAAAGCTTGGAGAGAACCACAGGCTCCCCATCCTGTCTTAATTCAGGATGAATGGCGTACTTAAAGCCAGCCAGTTTATTTGGAGAGATACGGCAGAAAAATCCTATAAAATGTTGTGACCAAGAACTAGGGTGAACACTGTAAAATAAAACAGACGTGTTTGCTATTGCTTGAGCCCTCTTTATTGTCTGGATTTTCATTGCTAATTGTTTTCATTTTGCTGATTTTATCAATTTGTTGTTGTTATGTGCCGTCAAGTCACCCCCAACTTGTGGCAAGACCCCATGAATGAGAGATCTCCAAAATGGCCCGTCCTCAGCATCCTTGCTCAGCTCTTGTAAACTTGAGCTTGTGGTTCCTTTAAGGAGTCAGTCCATCTCATATTTGGTCTTCCTCTTTCCCTGCTGCCCTCCATGTTTCCCAGTATTATTGTCTTTTCCAGAAAATCTGCCTTCTTATGAGGTGCCCAAAGTAGGATAGCCTCGGTTTCATCATTTTTGACTCCAGAGACATTTCAAGCTTGATTTGATCTATGCCCCACTTGTTTGTCTTTCTCGCAGTCCAAGGCATCCACAAAGCTCTCCTCCAGCTATTTAGTTCTGCTTTTAATTGTGTGTGCCTATTTTCCTTCCTTCCTTCCTTCCTTTCTGCCTTCTTATGAGGTGCCCAAAGTAGGATAGCCTCGGTTTCATCATTTTTGACTCCAGAGACATTTCAAGCTTGATTTGATCTATGCCCCACTTGTTTGTCTTTCTCGCAGTCCAAGGCATCCACAAAGCTCTCCTCCAGCTATTTAGTTCTGCTTTTAATTGTGTGTGCCTATTTTCCTTCCTTCCTTCCTTCCTTCCTTCCTNTCATTAGTTTTAGATTGCCAACTGCTTCTTAAAAGAAGAAAGTGCTGCCTTACAGATGATGTTGGACTACAACTCCCAGCATTCCTTACTGTTGGCTTATGTAGTGCTGTACTTTTTCTACCCCTGTTTCAAAGGATAAGAGGGATAAAAACATTCTAAATAGGCTTGTGCAAATTTGCACTATAAGTCCCTTCCTTTGAACCCTTGAAGGGAGTTGTGCAGAAAACAACTGAGTGAACTTCAGTGGAAGTTGTTCTTCAGGTTCCCCTTTCCTTTTGGAAGTTAGGCAGGTGGCTATTTTTGCATTGGTTTCCTGCTTGTGGACATCCCTCCCCTAATATCCCTTCCTAGGGAACATCTATCCTGTTTGCCCAGGATTACATCTTTAGGGTTTGTTTTGATTTTCCTGTTGGTTTTCCTGACTCTTATTAAACTGGGGAAGAACAATATCTAATCAAGCACCAGGGACCTTGGCAGTGTTTCTGAGATTCTTTTTTCATGATTGATAAGCACGGCTTGTTTGCCTGTTTTTAAACTGCTGGTGAGACTGAGGGTAGTGTTTGGATCTGCTAAATGTTTTTGCTGTTCTTCTTGTTTTGTGTTTTGAAATGTGTCAGCTACCCTCTAGAGACTGTGCTGGGTAGAATCCTTGGAATTGTTTCTGCATTATTTTTGAATGAAAAAAAATATGAGAGGAATTTAGAACAAATGTCAGTTGTGAAGTCATACAAAGAAGTCACAGTATGGTTGCCTTATGCTCTCTGCTGTCCACCTGCTTAACTTTCCTGACTTAGAGATTCTTTATGACATTTGGATTAGAATGATCTTCATAAGAAGTGTACCAAATGTGGGGGTGGTCGTGATGGAAAAGAAGCCACGGCCAACTGCAGTCTTGTGTGCAGGACACTGCTGAAAACTTTAGCCTGTGATCCTGTGTATTCTTACATGACTGTAAATCCTGTTGAACCCATTATGTAGGACTGAGTTGCAGGCTGACTAACTGAAAATTGGGCCTTAGGTATATCTTTCAATGAGGGGGGTCAAAAGGTCCCTTGCTTAAAAATATCTGTCAAATTATCTTTTGTCTATGTTCAGAAACAAGTTGCCAGCCATGTGAAAGCACTGAAGAAAAGAAGAGAGAAGCTGAAGGAATCAATAGAAGATTTAGAGTGCCGAAGCCAGGCTGATCAGGTAGGAATCTGTCTCTACTGCCATGGAAAGACTTGGAGAAAGAGGATATGTGTTCCTTCAGCTGTTGAAGAAGAGGGGTTTATCTGAACCTTAATTAACCTGGATCTGTCCCTTTACAGGACATATTTGTAATCTTCCACAAACATCCCCATTCCAAGTCTCTTCACATACGTTGGACTGTATTTCCTATCATCCTCGGCCAGAATAGACCGAGTGGTGGGAGTAGTAACCCAGCACATCAGGACAGTACTGACTTAGACAATATCAGTTCAATCAGACTGGACAGTTGCAAACTAGCAGTGGGCAACTTGTGGCCCTCTAGGTGTTGTTGGGCTGCAAAATCCATCAGTCCCAGCCAGTGTGGCCACGGGGAAGGCATGCTGGGAGTTGCAGTGCAGCACCATCTGGAGCCGTAAAGATTGCCCACCTTGGCTTAAAATGCTGAGAATACTAAATATTTACGTAAGTATAGTATGAGACTTTCTTGTATTTGAGACTTGAAAGACGATTCCTCTGCTTTAGTTGCAGAATTTTCAATTAATTAATTAATTGATTATGTGCCATCAAGTTTATTCTGACTTATGGTGACCCTTTCCAGAGTATTCTAGATATTAAATACTCAAAAGTGGCTTGCTTGTCCCTTTTTCCTGGGGTTTCTTTGGGACTCTGTAGCTTCCTCAAGAATATAAAGGGTGGATCTTCTTCCAGGAGGCTCAGCAAGGAATCAAACTCCTGACTTCTGACTCCTCTGCCAGCTACTGAACTCATTGAACTATTTAACCAGTTCTGCATTACTCAATCCTGATAGAAATGATCTTAAAGTACTTTCATTAGATGGTCTGGAAAAAATCTCATAGTGCGGCCTTGCTAAAGCAAAGCAGGTGCGAACTGATCAGAGATTTGTGTAAGAGACCATAAGATGCTGAACATATATAACAAGTAAAATATTTATATTAATACTAGCAGTTGTATTTATTGAACATTACTACCTATTTTTATAAAATTACGTAAGTGCTGCTGTTTGTCACATGAATTATAGCGATTTATGAATTTACAGACTATACACAGTCCTTCCCAAAGTGCATTAAACAAGAGTAATAAATAAAAATAAATTTAGCATTGCCAATTTATATAAAATTATTCCCATGCTTCAGTTCATGTTGTAGCACTGTGGCTTACAATTTATGTATGTATGTATGTATGTATGTATGTATGTATGTATGTATGTATGTATGTATGTATGTA